CCTGCATCTGGATGAACGCTTTGCCCAGGCGGGTGACGTGCTGGGTCGCAACTTCGCACTGGGCCGCGACAAGGCCTCCACGATATTCACCAAGCTCTACAACGACGTGGAACAGCTCCGTGAGGCCCAGCGGCGCAGACCGGACGAGGTGTCGGTCACTTCAGAGAAATCCGGCGTCGTTGAGAAGACTACCGCGGAGGTCCACTCGACCCCCGGCCAGGCAGCGAAACCACAGCAGACGGCGGGCGCCCGTGCCAGCGCCTACATGTCCAGCTGGGCGACTTGGGCTGGCGAGAAACGAAAGGCGAGCGGCTGGGGTGCTGGCTGGGGCAAGAAATCTACCTCCGCCCCCAAGTCCGACAAGTCGATCTCGACGCCCACCAGCCCTATAGAGAAGGACTACCAGATCGTCAAGCCGGCCGGAGACGTCAAGGCAGCGGTCGTGACTGAAGACATTCTAGTCCCTGCAAATGCCAGCAAAGGAGCAGAGACAGAATCGGCGCCCGCAAAAGATGCGGATACGCCACAAGTGGATCGCGATCAAACTTCCTCACCCACAGGTTCCGCAGTCCCAACCTCCGTTGCAACCGAGTCGCATAGTGCCGAAACACCAGATCCCAAAGTTGCAGAGCAACCGGAGGTTCAAGAGGAGGCGGTGACCGGAACGGCGTCGAAGAGCAGTAGCGAGGAGAAGCTCCCTTCTGCCGAACCCAGCGCGGCCATTTCAACAACACATACGAACTAATTAAGAGTGCGATACACAATTAACTAACTTACTACTACTAGAAGATGGGTGCATTAACGTGCATGGGATATGATTAATGAGGAGGGAACATCGGGACACTCAATATAAATAGCAAATTCGAAAATACGTATCGGGAACAGACCCAAAGATCAATAGAAGCGATGAGGCGGGATGAATGTAACGGCCGAAATTAAATGAGGGGAGGAAAGAGCGCTGCTACGGAACTGTTATTCGTCGCTTATTGTTATATACATTCTCCAAACGGAATGGCCCAATAACGTGTTATTCTCTTGTATATATGACGAGCCTAGTACTCGCTTTTCCTTCTGTGGATTATTGTAGTAGTCACGCTGTCATTCTAACTACTTGATTAGACACAAGTGTGCTTTTGGAGTTGAGTCCCAAAGTACGTGCCCTCCCAATTCCGTAACAGTTTAAAAGCAATCTCGCTAGTCGGGCGGCCTATGCCGTTATTGACGTGGTGCACGTTGGTCTTTTTCATGGACTGGTTATTCGCTTGGTGATTCGTGTAGGGGAGAAGTTCATGTCAAGACTCGTAAATTAATATCCCAGACTACGGGCTGCCGTTCCAAAACCGAAAGAAAAGATCATGCCAAGTATCCAAGCTCATCATCCTCGAGACGCTCCAGGTACTCCTTGTCAAGGAGGATCTCAATACACTTTTTGATATCTGACACCTTGGGGACGAACCGGGATCGGATCTGGTTGATAGTTTCGCTAACGAGCTGTGCGTGCTTCATCTGCTTTCGTGCCTTCATAATACGCACAATCGCCGACTAGATTCGAGGTTAGTTTTGTACTGAGAAAATAGGGGAGAGAAAAGAAAGGGTATTTACCTGGAGAACAAGCTTGCGATCCTCCTCAATAGTCTTGTTCGTCTCAGCCTCTTCTTGCTTAGCCTCCTTGACACCACCCAGGTTCAGATTAACTCTGATCTTTTTGCTCTTGAAGTCGTAGTTGAGCTTGAAGGTCCGGCCAGGACCAGGTTTGTCACCTCCAGACATCTGGAGAACCTTGGCCTTCAGGATAACGGCAAGAGCTTGGTCCAGGACTTCGCTGCTAAGCTTGGTCCCATTCAGCATGTCTTCGTAAGAATGGGTATCCTTCTCGTTGAACAGCAGAAGGATGGCCATTTGATAAATTGAGACTTGGAATGTGAATGGGGTCTTGCTATTTTTGCAATAATTGGCTTTAACTTCACCCTTGCAAAGATGCCATAGCCACGTTAGCTTTCGACCATCATGCTTCTTCTTGTAGTATCGAGTGAAACGCTCAATCTCGGCATCAATCTCCGCAGGGGCATGGAAGTCCGTGCTAGGTGGCGTCAGAGGCCAGAACCCTGTGCCTAGAATGGAGAAGGTTGAATCAACAGCCTTAGAGTACTCAACATTGTCTAGATGAGCACGGAACTCCTTGTTGAAATCCTTGGAGATTTGCATATCTTGGAACATGCGTTGGAGTTTGTTGGTGTATTCGAAACCACATGCCTCCTTCAACTTGCTAATCATGCTAGTTTCGGCATCGTCAGAGGATGAGTTGCTGTGAACCAAACGACGGGCGAGCATTCTGGAGTAAAATTTCTGGAAGACATCCTTGTCCTCAATATACTTGAAGACTGTCATAATCTGGCTGAGTGTACGCTCAAGCTCGGCCTCTTCTATGCTTGTGTTGCTCTTGCGAAGCAAGACATCGGTATACTTGGCCAGGAGCTCAGGTGACTTGCTGGACGATGACTTGCAAACGGCATTTCGGTTTACAAACTCTCTGCATGCGTTATCCAAAGATCTCGTAAATTCGGGTTCGTCGTTGAAAGCGCGCTTAACCAGGCCCTGGTACTTGGTGTGAATCTCGAGCAGTGAATCGACGTACACCTTAGGCTCCAACTTTTCACCCTCTGAGGATTGCACTTTTTCGACAGCGTGTAGACCTGCCTTTCGAACATGAGTCTCGAATCGAGTCCGCAAGGGATCAAGTCCATCTTGAATGCGTGAAAGAAGGTTGTACATCCTTGCCATGTCCTCCTCGCGATCATTGTCAAGCAGGACTTGGAACTCATCACGTAGGAGGACTGAGTGATCGGCAATCAACGCCTGGTTACATGTCTTCTTCAACTGCCCAGCGATATCCTGGTGCAAGTACATGTTCACACGTTCTTGCTCCTCTGTTAGTCGAGCCTCAGCCTTCTTCATGTATTCGACAACACTATTCTCAGCAACAAATTGCTTCGACTCGGCCTGATAGAATTCCCTGGTAGCATTGAGGAAGGGTTTCTCGAAATGCTGTCGGTAAACATCCAGGGTCGACTTGGATGTATCGGCCTCGTCCAGGCCGAGGGAAACGAACGAGTCAACGACCTGCTTGATCTGGCCGTGCTCAATGGTCTCACCGTTTCGCTGCTTCTCAACAAGCTTTAGGACAGCATCCATCACCTTGGATGAGAGCTTCTCGAACAACACCTTACGCCACTGAACCAGATGGAGGGTGTATACGTCGTAGATGTCCTTCTTGCCCTCGTCGATCTCCCTCTTGACCCAATGGCGATTCAGGTAGCGGAAGAGATGGTGGATGTATTTAGCAGCGGTCGTGTAGCGAACCCATTCTTTGATATAGAACGCGAGTAAGGCCTCATCGTTGTGGGACCTGGAGTTCTCTAGGAGCCCCGTCAAGTGAGCCTCAAGATATTCGATAAGCTTCTTGTAGAGCTCTTCGCCGAGGAGGTGTGCTGTTCCAGTGTTAGAGTTTCGGACAATCAACTTGGGGATGCAGGGTATGAAGCGACTAACCTCCACGGTGGTTGGAGTGCATAGCAGGGCTGCCAAGGCCGGCAGCTTTCTGTGATGTGCAGAAGTTGTGAATAGCACTAAGATCTCGTTAGCCACAGGAAACATCCCATCTCCGAGTGTCGGGGCGATAAGCTTACGTGTAGACACCCATGTAGAGGTTCATGTCGATTCCAGCCTCGAGATCGTTCATGATACGAGAAATGCCCGCCTGCAGATAGTCCCATCTAGAAGAGAGAATTGTTAGCCGCCCATGCAGTAGGAGGGGGAGGGGCAGCGATCCTTACGTTGAACGAATATCCTCCTTGTTGGGCATCGGAGGCATGGTGCTTCGCGAGGAGGCGACTCTTGCAGCCATCTTGACGGTATTGTTTGTCGGAAGGATGTTGTTGTACTGCAGGGCCAAAATGGCGGGTTTGGGTCGGAGGGGTTCAACGACCGCAGCTCGGGAGCTTTTTGTTGTTGGAGGGAGGTGGTTTGCTGATTGGTCTCACTGCACACACCGGCCTTTTATGCGTGCTTCGCCCTCGAAAACGTCGTTTGGTTGTGGTGCACTCCCAGGAAAATCGATGCGATCTGAATATCTGGATTGTGCGAAAGAACGGGCGACCGATTTATCGTCAGCTGAAACGTGTTGCTGGAACAAGGTGCTGCGACAAGGTAGGTATGTATGGTCGGGAGGGGGACCGCTGCTGGCTGGTGCTCGAACAAAGAAGCAATCGGCACAAGGACTCGCCAGGTTGTTCAAATACAATAGAACCAAATCGAGTCCACCGATTGAAGAGAGAAGGAAGAGAACGGGAAGGCCGCTGTGGGTAAAGTAAGAAAGGCAACAAGAAAGTTAAAAGGTGGAAGGTTGGTCGTGGGCAGGTAAGAAGAGGGCGTGAGGCAGAGTTGTGACTAAAGCTGAAGCGCAAGCACGCTACTTCCCGCCAACATAGGTGCTGCCATCAGGCAGGCACGACCTGGACCCATGGCCCTTGGCTGGTGCCTGCCGCCCGGTCCCCCCAAGAAGGGGCCAAAGCTCCCAGCCCAGTCACCCCGGTGCCTAACAAAGCCTAGCCGATCTTTCTGCCGCCTGCGACCGCCTAACCCGATTGTTCGAGTGGAGAAAGCCTTATCCTCTTGCTTGCTTAAAATAGACTAGGTACCTTAGGTAGGTAGGCAATGCCCTGCTCTCTCAGATACTGGCGAGAAATACTCCTTGACAATGCCATGCTGGTGTCGGCAGGTTCCCTGAGCGTTTAGGCTTCCCATGTAATTCAAAGTGCTATGTAGTTAGTTCCTAGCAATTGGCAAAATGATGTACTGCGAGCTCTTCCTTAGGCGCCACCCCAGTGAGACCAACGGAACAGCTACCCCTCACAGCTCGATATTCTATATTAAAAGAATTAAAGAAAGATTTTAGTTTTATTTGGTATAATACATAGATTAGTATTTACTCTAGCAGTGTATTAAACCTCTAAAGGGAGACTTGACCAGTCATCCCGCCAATTCTTACTCCCCTCCGTACGGGGCCAAATACGACTAGATATCTTTGCGCGAGCTTCATCTAAGTCGTAATCCGAATCTGAGTCTGGTGGTTGTTGAAGTTCTCCGTATTTCGCAACCTCACCTTCTCGTTGCTCAGGTGTTAAACTCGCTTCATAATCCCTCATCTTGAAAAACCTCAGCCTGTTTTTTCTCGACTCTCTATACTCTTGATCATGAGCCTCTCTTGCAAATTGACCAATCTCCATAACGGCGATAGCGTCTTTGTCGTCCCGAGGAAGTCTCTCCAATAGCCAAGAACGACTCATATTTTCAGCAAATTCAGACATACCCTCGTTCTGTCTCTACTGCCGAATGTGCCAGCCCCGGTAGTCCACAGTCTGAGAGACTCCAGCTGTCTACCAGCCTTATTTTGAGAGATTAAATCCCAGATTGACCGTGCCAGTGTCTCATCCACGGCACAGTTCATCAAGGCTGTCCGCAGATGGCCATTCTTTATATGATTCGACCAAGTCTGTAGGTCGAAATCATCAAATTCAGGTTCAAGTGAAGGATCATAGGTTATATCTCGGTAGAGCCGCCAATCCGAGCAGTCGAGAATGAGAAAGAGAGATCGTAAACACTCCATCTTAGCAAAGCTTTTGTATACCCCAACTTCAGCTTTATTGGACTTCATGCGCTTAACAGGAATGACCAGTTCTTCTAATTTCAAACACTCTGCCTGAATTTTAAGAATGTTCTCTTTTGTAAAGATCAAAGGCATTTCTCGCCGAAAATTAGATCCATAGGGTATTGCTTCTACCGGATGTAGAACGAGCTTTGTCAACGTCCGGCCATGCCGGCATAGAATAGTATCAATAATCTTGGGCTCAAGGGGGCCAGATATTGAAAGCTCTTCAAGAGGCTTCAGGGATGTGAAAAAGGCAATGATATTATCGCCATAATGAGGCTTCTCCTCCCGGCCATCATCACGTGTGAGCACAAGACCAAGAGTCCTTAATCGAGGGAAGGAGTAGTTATGAGAAATATAACTCATCAACTCACTACTTAAACCCCCGTATCCAGTACCCCCGAGATTCAGGTGTTGGAGCCAACCAAAATCCGTAAACTTAGCCCACGCATCAATAAGTTCTGGCGACCGGAGGTTTGGGTTTCCGATGACTGACAGAGAGGTCAACGACCCTATCTTTTCAGGGATAAATCCTGGAAGGCCTTGCCATCGGCCTCGCGGGCGGTTGTATTTTGGTGATAGGTTCGGAGTAAATTTGACCATAGTAACTTGTTTCAGATTAGGAGCAAGATGAGCAACAAGCTCCATAATCGCCTCCTGATTGAAATCATCGTCGCCATCTGAATCTCGCCAGGAGCAGAAAATCTTGACCTTTTGTAGACATGGAGATGTAGCTAAAGCTATCTCGTTAGGATGAGGGGTATCCCAAAGTAGCGTCCGTAGTCGAAATGTGAGATGATGAAGTTCACACTGCTGGGGATTTGAGAGCCAACAGTGGATTGAAAAATAGCAAAAGGTGCTGAGCTAATGCAACAGTTCTGTTTCCTGTTTTGTTGACCCCTCTCTGTTGAATCAAGGCATCGTGAAGTTCAGGATCTTATGCTAAAGATACGAGGTGGAATTAGCTAAAAGGCAGCCCGTTGTATAACTTTATGTACTAGCTATCAACAGATGTAATGCAGATAGCTACAGGTAGAGGCCCCTCGGGGCAGCCTTGAAAGAGGGTACAATTTAATAGGTAGAACATGCACAATTTTACATTGGATTCATGTCTTGCAGCAATATTAGCCTTGTTGGTATACGCATTTCCCACCAATCATCGAAGATTCTATATTGTCACGCTGTAAGGTTCTCGTATTTTAGCTCGAGACATCTGCAAGGTAGGCAGCATCGCACTAACAATGGTGACCCTCGATGGCTGTACCACGCCGCGAATTTGCAGAAAATCGATGGAATGGAAGGATTCACTTCTAGAAAACCTATATTAGAGGCTAATTCTATCAATATCGAAATACACTCGCTGTTTACCCAAAACGAAAAGAAACCAGGAGGTGAGGGACCCAGCTTGCTCAGAACAGCATCAAGGAACAAGAAACCTAATATCGAGGCCGTCACCCAGTACTGTCGTAATCATGTGTAAAGAAGAAGCGCCACCGGACTATGGGTAAGCTTCAATAAGAGCAAACCCAATCAAGCACCCTGTGACTCATGCCGGTGGACGAACACTCATCCCATCTGAAAAAAGATCCCAGTCCTTCTAGGAAAAATAAGCATCAAACAAGCACAGAAAACGCCTGCAGGGGAGAATGGGGCTAGTTTGCCATGCTCGACGGCCCCCAGCAGATGCAGGGGTAGGAGTCGTTAGGCGCCTCCATCACCCACGCTCGTCATCACCACGACCGAGCCGCCCGACTGTTCGGAAAATATTGATGATGAAGTTAATCGTCCAGGAGACCAATGCCATCAGCATGAACGCCGCCAAGGCCTTACCCAGAGCTCGCGCACTTTCAGTAGATGACCCGTGAAATATCAGGGTTGAGAACGCTAGCGCTGTACTGGCCGACTTGAAGATGATGAAGAAGAGGTCCAGCAAGATGAGTGACACCTTGGAGACAACAGAGCGTAGCCCGAGCGGTTTCCCCGTATACTCATCCCAGATCATGTATGCAATGTATGGTAGGGCGACACAGTCCACCACAATGGCCATAACAGCCTGGCTCCGTTCCGGAGTCATTTTATTTTCCGAATGTTCCACCAGGTGGAACATCCTTCCGGCAACTCCCAATGCTAGAATCGAGGTTACCATGACAATGAGGCGGAAGAGGAGGGGCGAGAAAGGATGTCGCATAACTAGATTCCATATCCTCTTGTAGGGAGCAATGGCTCTTCTCCGTCGTGATGTGCGTATATCTAACGGGTTGTAGGCCCCTCGTACAGGTTGGTCGAAGTTCGGCTGCAGCTTTTCAAGGTCGCCCTGGTTCATAATCTCGCTCTCCTCGCCCGTGAGATGCCCATATTTGGAGGCGTGGATGAAATCACGCCATGCCATTGGGGGGCCTGAGATGGTTGACGGGACATAGCCGGAGACAACAACGGGTTCGGCAGATCGCAAGTGGTCCCATTTCCTTCCTTTCTTTGGTGCGCGGCCGTACCGGAGGATGTGGGGGATGCTGCCCCGAGGTCGCTGTCCCGGACCCAGCTGGGCATCCTCCCAGTCTATAAATCCATCCTTGGACACACGGCGTTTCGGCTCGCTCGGGGCAGAATTGCGATGAGGTCGGGTCGTGTTGGGTGGGCGTAGGAGATCTAGTTGAGCCTTGGGGGCAGGACCGTATCTCTCTTCATATGAATCAATCCATGCTAGGAAACGGCATGTTAGTGGCTATCTTCAATATCTGACGAGACACTGGGAGCAATCGACATACGAGGAAGAGATCTCGGAGCGCGGAGCCGTGTCTCGCTTTGCGGAGGGACCGTGCTGCCACTGGGAGCTGTGCTGGAGGGGTGGTTCTCGGAAATCTGTCCGTCGGATGAGTTGGAATGGGAGAGGCGCGACATGGCCGCCGTTCAGAAGGTGGCGCCACAGGCGCAGGCAGTCGGTTCAATCGAGTGCGAGTGAAGCGAGGTATTGTCTATTCAAGAGGTTCAGAGCCGGATGTGGTTGATGTTGACATATTTTGGCGCGCCCAATTGTCCGAATGAAACTAGCCCTGCAAAGCATGGCACTCGCTAGGAAAAAGAAAAGAAAAAGCGGAAAGGAAAGTGTAGCGTTTCAAGAGAGTGCGATTCGAAGAGAGAAACCTGACCTGAGACGGGACGGGCCTGTAAGAGAAAAGGGAGACGAAGAGAAAGAAGGCGGACGAAATCGAGAGCAAACGGATGAGAGAGCAGACGAGCTGCTGGCAATCAGGCAGACGCAAATTGGCGATCTACCTCCCTCTCCGTGGGCAGAGCTGCCCGTTCGATTCGCGAAAGACGACAGCGAGCGAAGCAGGTGGATGAAAGAAAAGCTGCCCGTCGCCAGGATCAGGTGGGTAGTGGAAATGAGGTGGGAGCGATCCGTGTGACGTCCTAGACTGCCGCGCCTTGGCCACCGGCGTTGCGCGTGCTCACACCACCCGACCTCAACTGTAATTTAGAGTCTACAGGCTTCGTACAGCGCTATCCACGGCACGCCAGCACAGCCGCCAGCAGTACGGGCGGTCCGAGACACCACGTTTCTCCATGTCCATCCATTTCCCCGTGCCATCTGCCACCTAAGTTAATCTGCCCTGCGGTGCCACCCGTCCAGCCAGCCAGAAGCCTGGTCCGCCGACTATCCCAGCCCAAGTAGCCCACATGGCCACCTTATCAGCTATCCCATTAGCTGCGTGGGCCAATGGCCTGGGGTGCTCAGCCGCACACAGCCGCCACATCCCGTCCAGCCAAGCAGGTCTGGGCCTGTCCTGTTCCACCAGCTCAGGCAGCACTTGTGGGTATTTACATCGAGTCCTTGTGTGACACCGCCATTCGTCCATCGAGTACATAGAATAAAGCAAAGAGCATTCTCGTACAGAATCTAAGAATATGAGGGAAATAACGAGCCGAAAACGAGGTCTTCAATAACTAATCTTATACTCATATGCATCAATACTTGCGCCCGAAGGTCACTGTGTAGCATCGCCATAGTCACAGATCAACTGGCACAAATGTTTATGAATAGCCATGTTTAACAAAGAAGAGTACAATCTATTTGGTCTTAGGGTATCAGATCAGTGCAACAGGAATACTAAACAGTCGCTCCACCAAGATCATCCAGTATCGTGGCTTCCTCGAGAAGAACCACACTGATGCTATACTAATAATATTATAAGAATGAAAGCAAAAGGGTAGAACAAGCAAAAAACAGAGCTTCATCTACAGACGTTTCTCTCCCCTCTCTCAACTGAGCGTCATCATCGTACACACACATATACACACTTCGTCCCCTCACGAATCAAGTACAAGCTGCTCTCCCTCGTCCAAAAGCTCCGTGACCTTGCGAAGATTGCCAATCAGCGCTCGGCCCAGACCGACGAGCAGCAGCTTCTCAGCATTTGCCGGCAGTCCCAGATAGCTTGGGGGTTCACGCTCAGGCAGCTTGTGAATCCAGGACACAAAGTCTTGAACACCCGTTCCAGACGGCACAACAAGGCTGCTTCCATCAGGCCCATCAACGAGTTTGTGATCCACATCATAGGCCTCGGGAACGAGGAATGTGGACACCAACTGACCAAGGAGTTTGAAGTCACCCTCATCATCAATCTTGCCACCGTAGGTTTCCGTGACAAGGTAACGAATCATATCCCAAGGGATATTTGAAGGTGCAATGTTGGTCCTGTTACCAGCAACCACATCAAGCCAGGTATCGGCAATGAAAGCAGAGCATTCGTACTGTAAAAGAGTCAGCGCTTGTCAAAATCACACGTGAAGATACGGGTTATTCGTTATACTTACATCGCTGTCGTTGAACTCCCAGAATCCTTTCCAACCAAGATTTGGTGCATATCGCAGCCGTTCCTGAACAACGGCATGCAGGAATGAGAGGAGCAGGTACAATCTGGTTCTCTCCACGGGGCTCTTGTTGGTTCTTGTCGAAAGCGAGGACATGGAGTCCTTCATGTTAGCCCTGATACCAGCCGGCTGCTCATACATGAGGACACGAGATGCACGTAGCAGATTGACAGGAATCTTCGGGCTGGATTCCATAGACAAGAAGAGTCGGAAGTCCTTGTGTGGGTTGAGTGCATCCATTCGCTTTTCAAGACTCTGAAGCCAGGTTGGTGCAAGATGCACATTCTTGACAAGGACCCAAGACCCAGTCTGGGCAGCCTCGCTCACGGCCTTGTCGGCACTTGCCAGTCCTTCGTTGGATCCCATAGCGATGTTGGTGCAGCGAACGCCAACTCTCTCTACCAAGCTGTCAACCTTGTAACTGGCGTCAAATCCAGGGCTGGAAACAAGTGAAATGGGCAATGTAGCGGCAACTTGGCTAACAGTCTCCTTCAGATCTTCAACAACATCGAAAATGTCTGGTGAAAAAACCTCGCCAACGAAGCGTTCAGCCGCAGGCACAAACCGATCCATGCGGAACATCTTAACAAGCAACAGTGATAGCAAGGCTTTGTCATTGGCCGATGTGTTGTCGCCCCAAATTTGGGGCACGGATTTCTCGGCCTCTTCTTCGGTGAAGAACTTGTCCCAATCCTCGCTGGAAGGACTATCCAATGTAGTCTTCAGAGGGGTGAGCTTCCTAGCCTCCGCAAACGCCTCATCCCTCAGCTCAGGGTTACTCGACATATCCTTGCCTTCAACCGAGCTGTCTAGGATGATATCGATAATCGACTTCTCCATTTGATATGGTGTCGCCTGAGCAAGGAGCATACCGAGGGTGATGCGATCCTTCTGAAGTAACCCAAGTGACGTCCTTTTGAAGGTGTTGACAAAGAGATCGCGAACGATGATATCACGACGGGCATTGTGGTCGGTCTCACTGGCCAGGTTGGGGTTGTTGTGCAGCACAGACTGGAAGATGTTGAGGAAATACTGAAGAGAGAACTGGTAAAAATGGTTCAAGAAATGCAGCTGTTCGAGAATAGCAAAGACAGCACTGCAAGACTTGGCAATGACGCTGTATTGCTGCGTGATCTGGTCCACTTCGGTCATGACTCCTTCAGTGTTGCTCATCTTGGCAGAGATCTCGGCAGCTTCGTTCTTCAAAGTCTCAAGTGTCTCAATGACATTGTCATCATCAAGGATATTACCACGAGATTCATTCAGCGACTGGAGCAGACGCTTCTCAAGCTGTCGCAAATGAATCTTGAACTCTCCTTGCAACTTGATAAGATTTGATCGTCTTTCATCCACATCGGGTCGCTCTGACTTCAGTACATCGTTAAGTGACTGCGTCTGAAGACTGCTCTGGGTGACTGTGAAGTTGACAAAGGTCGTTCGACTGCAAATATCGGGGGCAAACGTAGCCGAGGGATCGCGGGTGGAGAGGTACAGCTTGAACGCGGGGGAGAAATCGATCTCTTGCTTCCCAAGCTGGATAAGAACACGACCACCAGTTCGTTGGTATTCCTTGTTCAAGACGTGGTTGAGCACAGGGTCCAAGTATTCAGCATCCTGGATGAGAATGGGATTACCAAATCGCAGGGATGACTCCAGCTGCTTGATAAAAGTATCATCCAAGAAGCTAGTCACCGTCAGGCGCTGGTTTTTGTTCTCCTTCTGCAGGAATTCGGGGATTCGGCCTGTTGGATCGATGATGAGAGGGTAGCGGTTGAAACGCTTCAGAATGATGGCGTTCTCAGTGCATAGGTCATCAACCGGAAGGCCATTTTGTTGCCAACCCAGACGCTCATCCGCATCAGAGAGATATTCAGTAATAGGATTTGGCGATTTGTACTGAACACCCGAGAGGTGTAGCTGATGGAACCAGTCCTCAATCATGGACTTTCGGAACGTTTGGTCGTAGAGACCGCTGTATGCCAAGAAGGCTGCGGCGACGAGCACGTCTCCTACCAAGGTGGCTATCTGAGTCTCGAAAGACTTGCTTCCTTCCTCCCATCGTACTCGTTCCGAGGACAGGCTATCAAGAAGACGGACACTGCGGTCGACCTTGAACTGGACCTTGGACATCTCCGATTTGATAGCCTGCGTCTCACTGATGAGAGCGGCGTATTCGGTCTTGTAGGTGTTGATGCTGGCCTCCAGCTCATTGATGTTGTTCTCGACAGCCTTGGCCTCTGCCTTGGTCTGCAATGCCTGTTCCTCAAGCTCGGTAACCTCCTGCTTCAACGGGCCAACACGGTCCAGAATGCCAGAATACTCAACTTGAGCTCTGACCCACTGCACAAGCGGTCCGCATGCCTTCGATGCGCGATTGACCTTCTCAAAAGTGAACTCGGGGTTGCCCAAGAATTCCTTGTACATCTTGTCTCTGAGGGGCTTGTTCATCCTAGCCTCGTTATCAAAAGCGATAATGCTGGCAATGAAATCATCTTTCCTGACCACACCCAGGACATCCTTCTTCCAATCCGTTGCCTTGTGTCCAAGAAGTGTGACGACGGCCTCCATCGCCAACTTGACACCTGCGGGAGGACTACCCATACCTCGCACTTCGACCAGCTGCTGTCTTTTAATGTTACTGACACTCCGCTTCGCTTCCTCCACAGCGGGTTCTGCCTTGGCCAAGTCTTCCAACACCACCTTCCTCCGGGAAGCCACCTCGGCCTCTTGCTTCTCGAGCTCAGCCTGGAACTTGAGCGATATAGTCTTTCTGTGCTCAGCCTCGCGCTGATCGGCCACCATCTTCTGAAGCTTCTCGTTCGCCTCCGCATCCTTCTGCTCCAACTGCTTCTTCTTCTCCGCCAAACTGACACGCAGGTCGCGCACCTTGTCGACGGTGTCCCTCAGTTTCTCCAAACCAACGTTGAGATGGCGCTGTTGCTCTTCCAGATCCTCACGCTTTTCGTTATAAAGCTTGACGTACTGGCCGACAAAGTCCAGGAAATGACGAGGGGTGAGGAACGTCA